GAGGGCATGACCTTGAAAGTTATATTATTGTGTCTAGCTCCTCTCTCCTGTTCTGAGCTTCTTAGCTGTCATGGCATGAGTATCTTTCCCCTGCTATGTCCTTCCTTCATACTATTTTTGTTTGTTTTATTGTTTTTGAGACAGCATTTCACCATGCAGTTCAGGCTGGCCTTGAACTCACTTTCCAGCCCAGGCTGGCCTCAAACTACTAGTGATCTTCCTCCTTCAGCCTCCAGAGTGCTGGGATTACAGGTGTGTACTACCACACCCTGGATCTTCATGGAATTTATGATTTGAAGCCAGCCAAATCTGTCAGCCAAAATAAACCTCCTTTCTTTTAAATTAGAGATGTTGAGTAGTTTGTTTCTGCAACAGGAAAGAGACTAGTATCTTAGTAGGTAATGTTCTATGTTTTGACAAAATATCGCACAGTTAAAATGAAAGAGTACTTTGGCTCACAGTGTGTATGGATTTCAGCGCATAGCTAGCTGGCTGCATGGCAAGATACCATGGCTGAAGAGAAACAGTCCATGGCATGGTAAGATAAGAAGAATCAGTGAAGCAGAAACAGCAGCAAGCCTTCCTTTTTATTTTATCTCACCCAGGCTCCAAACCTATTGAATGGTGCCACCTAAATCCAGGGTTGGCCTTCCTGTGTTCACACCTAGAATTATGCTAAACCAATTAGGACACTAATTTATTCATCACAAAGTCTTCATATACTCGAGATCCAGCCACCATTGTGGAGCACAGTGCTCTGGGGCTCTCTTCTCAAAGGAAAGTCTTTCACCTTTGCAATTTTAAGGCTGCAAAGGGTGGAGCCTTGCTGGTGCCTGCAATGCTCTCAGGTCATCTTTTCTGTTGTCTTCAGCAACCAGTTTCTCTTCTGTTCTATCTTTATAGTCCAGAACTTTACTGGAGCTTCCTTTTTAACCAAATTCAAACTTTTTCAAATCATTCTGCTGGGCTCTTTGCTCTTGATTCTCAACATCAATCTCTTTGCTCTTGATTCTCAACATCAATCTCTTTGCTCTTGATTCTCAACATCAATCTCTTTGCTCTTGATTCTCAACATCAATCTCTTTGCTCTTGATTCTCAACATCAGTCTGGCTAAAAGGCCTTGATAGTATCCATGCCAAACATCAACATTAAACTACATTGAAATTTCTACCACCAGATTAATTAGTCTGTCCCACTTAATCTCAGTCTTCTGCAAAGTTTCTGAACAGGAACAAAATGCAGGCAAAATTTCTGACAGGGGATAAAAAAAAATAGCTGGGTGTGGTGGCTCACGCCTGTAATCCCAGCACTCGGGAGGCAGGCTGAGGTGGAAGGATCATTGTGTGTTGTACGTTCAAGACCAGCCTGAGCTACAAAGTGAGCTCAAAGCCAGCCTGAACTGCATAGCGAGACCCCGTCTCAAAAAAGACAAAAAAAAAAAAAAAAGTCTGCTGGGATATAACACATGTGTCTGGAGTCCAACTGCCAATGGAGCTCTTCTTTCCACATGAATCCTTTGAACCTGGTCTTTTCCAGATGTATTGCAGTCAGTATTCTAATCTTCTGAAGTTCAGCAAGAATTTCCCATCCAGCTCAGCTCACAGCCTATCTGGTTGTAGTTACTTTCTTGTTACTGGGACAAAATAGCTGAATGCCACAGTTTAAATAGTAATGATCTATTTTAGCTCATAATGTGAAAAGGTTTCAATCCATAGCCAGCTGATTGCAAGGCAGGGCAGCATGGCAGAGTTGCATGACCAAGGAGAAACAGTTCATGGAATGGCAAGCAGGAAGCAGAAAAGAAGCAGCAGCAAGCCTTTCTTTCCCTTGTATCCCATCAAGGCTACAAACCTATTGGATGGTGCCAGCCACACCCAGAGTGGACCTTTCCATTATGCATACCCAGAACTATGCAAAACAATCAGTGGAGCAATCACACACCCTTTAACCATGTGCACACACCCTAGATCCAGCCACCACCATAAAGCCCCACCTCTGAGTGTCTGGGCCTTTGAGTGGTCATCTACATATAAGCCTTAATAGTATTGCTAGCAAATTACACTTTATCATCAGGGAGACTTACACAGGATTTTGTAAACAAGACATATTTTTCTGTAATTTTTAACCTACTTGTTTCAAAAAAGATTTTCTGTCTTGTTTAAAATATTTTAATAGGAAAGTTAATCTATGCCAATGGTACTCAAATTGGGAGGGGACACCCAATCTTGTGGGGAGTTTCACCCACAAGAGATATACGCCCGTGTCTGGAAATATTTCTGATTGTCACAACTGGTGGTTGCTTCTGAAATCTTGTAGGGAGAGATCAGTTATGCTACTCAATATTCTGTTAGGCACAAGTTGGACCCCACAGCAGAGAATTTTTAACTCAAAATTCCAGTCATATCAAGTTAAGAAACAAGAGCTTAGAGAAAAAACTTATTTAGAGGTGAATAGCTGAAAAATGAATGGCAGAGATGTGTGCTAAGCTATACCATGAACTAAGAGGAGAGAAAAGACTTTGTGTGTTTTTTCATATCATGCCACTTAACTTCTAAGTACTAAAGTTCTACAATGGGATTGTTAGAAAATAGATTATTATGGATATATTTCAAATTCAGATTACTAAATAATTATACAAACTTTTAAAGCAGTACTGCTAACATTAGAATATCTAGGCAATCGAGAAAATAATTTAATTATGTAGTCCATATTTATATGTAATAAAATACTGTTCTCATGATATTTAACCAGGTTGCTGGGCAGCATAGTGACTTCTTAACTTTATTGAATCTTATAATCTCCTGGAAGGTTTCTAATATATCTAGAAGCCACAAATATCTAGAAGCCATGTTCAGAGTCTCTGGCTCAGGGAGGCTGGAGGGGCCTGAAATCTGCATTCAACTTGTGCACAAGCAGTGCTGCTGCTGATCAGGACAGCTCATTTTGACATCCAATGACCAGCCATTGCTAGGCACTGAATAAATACTGGCTTAGTAATATAGACATTTAAAACTATAATCTCACCAAACAACATCTTCTCACTCTAGGGTAGATTGAGTATTAATATTAATTCCTAAAGAGGAATACAATTAGATAAATGGAAGAAACAAGACAAAGTTAAGCCTACTTAATTCAAATTCCTTGCATTAAAAAATAAAGAAATTAATGTATTTTAAGTTTATTACAAGAAAAAGTAACTTTTTCATAAAAACCAATAGAAATAACAGTAAACATCAATCATGTACACATGGTTTAGGTAAGGACAGTGCTATCTTAGATATATAAAAACTTAAAGATTGTAAGTACAATTAAGTATGCATGTCTTATTTTTAGCATTATATTTTTGAAGACTAGTCCAAATGTCAAACTTATAAACACTGATATCATGGGGCTCTTGTGCCAAGCTACATCTATGGGGAAATGCCTATTGACATCCGTAATATAAAATCAGACCCTAAGGGACCATAACTGTGTCTTCAAATTGTTAGGGAAAACATGCACATGTTTAAACAATTCGATACAGTATAAAAGCAGTATCTTTTCATCATAAATAATCAATGTGCTGCTGTTAATTATGTTTAATAGACTGAAAAGTACTCCTAAGGAACATGAATTCAATAACACTCATTTTCATTCCTTTAACTTAATATTTTAAATGCCAGAAGTTTTGTAGACTTTAAAATGGCTTGTTTATCTGGGGAATGTTCTGTAATTAATCTGCCTCGTGCCAGTCCTCATTACAGGCTCTCAAGCAAAGGACCGATAATCAACTTTCCATTCAGCTCTTCGAGATCACGTAGACATTTACACAGCCTTCGATTCCCTCCCTCATGGCATCTCATCCAAGGCACGAAATTTCCTTGCCAAGGACACACAGGAAGCCAAATGCTCTCAAATATGCTGCTTTGCTTTCAACTTTTAAAATACCCATCTATCTTTTAAATTAGGTGCCATCTGTTGTATCATCTCTGCTAAATCATTAAAATTTCTTGCCAATATCATACTGCTGCCGCATTCCTGCCCTGTTACTTCTTCAGGATTTCTGCAGCATTCAAGAAGAACCTGCTACTTTACCTAGGAAGAACCTGCTACTTTAACTAATTTTCGTAATAAGGCACAGTGTGAGAGTAGTCTAAAACAGAATCAATGTTAAACTGTTTTTACTTTTACATATAGAGTGAGTAAGTGTTCACTTCAAACCTGAGATTATTCCTCCAACTCTCCTAAATACAGACTGGTTTGAGCCAATGCAGAGAGCCCAGCATTACACTGTGCTAGTGTCGAATGGCGCTTGTACTATAGTATTCACCTTGAAACTAAGTAGGCAGAATTTATTATTTGTGGAAGTCACCTAACTTCCAGGTTACACAGGCTTCATTCTTATCACACAGAGTCAGCACAGAAGACAGACACAGACAGACATAAAGCTCATTTACAAGGGAAACAAATTTGCAGCCTGAGACAAGGGCAATGTAACAGCTTAGAACTGCAGTAAATCTCTTGCAGCCAATAGCCACATCTAACAACGCTCGCCTGCAACACTCTGATGGAACAGATTGTATTCAGAATTTAAACAGCAGAACTCACCTTCATTTCTTAACATTTAAGCAAATGCTTGCTGACAAAATTCTAGTTCATGATTTCTTTTGCTCCTTATCTGTTTCAAAGCTAGGATTACTGATAGATTTGCTCTGCTTATTCAAGCATGCTAACAGAATTGGAATCTCTTAGTAATATCTCCACACCTCTCAGCATGGCTGAAAGTCATCTGCCAAGATCATATAGTATATAAGCAACTGAATCATGCAGAAATATTTACCCCCAAAAGTTGTGTTAAAGCTCAGCTTCCTCCAGCCTCCATAGCCCCTGAAGTGTTAATCTGAAGAAACAGTTTCATGAGTTTCGAGAGGCCAGCAGTGAGTCTCCTACACTTGACCTAGACAGCCTTACATAACGAAGCATCAGTGCTGGTGAGCTTGCTGAATGTCATCCCCAGCAAGAATAAGGAGTACTGGCAGCAGCAGGCAGGCAGGCGGGCTGCGAGGCTGCATGGAAATCCTGAACTCTTTCTTGCTTTTCTGTTTTGAAATGCTTTGGAAGGAGAGTTAAGAATAGCACAGAAACTGTTTCTCTCTCTCTCTCTCTCTCTCTCTCTCTCTCTCTCTCTCTCTCTCTCTCTGTCTCTCCCCCCCACCCCAGTCGCTTGCAAAGAATGATGAGAAGCATAAAAGCTAAATCTTCCAGCACTACTAGACACCTCTTTGGTATTTGCAGTAAACCTAACAGGATAAATTGCTGCCTGTAAAATCCTATGCCAAAATACCCAAAATGAAGGGACTGGTACAGCAAAGTCAGAGCACAAAGGCTGCCTCCGAGAGAGATTTGTCACCTTTAACTCATTGTGGTGAGTAGAGGACGATGTACATTATATAGTATAATCTTAGTTGGGAGTGTAAATTGTTTTGCACGATGATACTGAAATATTTGCAAAGATCTTCATGTCCCTTAAATACCTTTTTGTAAACTAGGTGATAACATTTTTATGATTGTGCATCAAATTCAGAATATGATAGGTTAAATTGATTGTGCTTACTGCATTTCGGCTTCTGAAATTTACATGCCGATAATAAGAAACACAGGTACCTATCTCTAGTGGCTTCCATGTGTGCTAATTGATTAATTCTATTGTCTAAACCTAAAACTGAAATCTGATTTCCAGCATCAGAATTTACATACAGTGAATCATTTTGTTTTAGATTTTGAAAACAACTTCTCAGAATAGAAAGAGGGTATTACTGTTCTTTTAAGGTAATCTTTGCTAGATTCACTCTGAGCTGTCAGGGGGATACTTTATATAGCAAATTAAAGACAGTGTATTCTCCAGCTAATTTTCAATTATCTCAAATGTGTCCAATACAAGTTACACTCTTAAGAGCTAGAAATAATAACTTCAGTCTTTTCTTCCCATATGGTATTATTAATATAAGTAGTATTACATTACTTAATTATATATAAAATTGTGGTTTGATATGGGTTGTGAATGAAGGCATTTCACTTCTGAGGCAACAGAAATAGAGAAGCCATGCATCATTTAAAAATAATCTTAATGTTCTGCTCTTAGCTGGGAAGCTTTCTGCTAATGCATCACACTGAGAATAGAGTGAGGAAAGAAGAGAATTTAGGTGTATGGAAGAACACAGTGATCTAATTTCATCTCCTCTTGAAACTCAGAAGTGGGTAGAACTGAGATGGTGAGCTTAAGCTGGCACTGAGGATGAGGTGAGTGGATGGCAGTTTTCCTCAAACTTGCCCAGCGTTTTGTCTTTGTGTTACCCTAAATAATTGTCTTTTAATATTGGAGGAAGGCTAGGTGTACACTGCCTTTTTATCAGTCATAGAAATGACAGAAAAGTGGATTTTCACTAAATATCTGCTTTTTTCCATTAGTCTGATTTTGAAAAAACAAGTTCTGTAATAGAGGTAATGAGAATTTATTTCCCACAACTATAAATAAGAAATATATTGGTGTGGCATTTAATTAAATTCTCAGATTATGAAATGGTATTCTGAACAATAAGTGAAATAAACCAAGGTTATGTTTCAGATGGTTTAATTTTGTTAATGTTGATTGTGTTGCTAAGTGTTCTATCTCTTGGAGAGCTATTGCAAGTGAAATAACTCATAGAAAGCAAGGACCTGGAAAATGCCATGTTTTTATAAAATTCTCTTTCAAATCAACTAAGCCTCTTGCAGTCAGGCACTGTTTTTTTATTCTAGCATCTCTTTTCCTATGATAGTGCTTACCAGCTTTCAATAAATGGTAAATGAAAAAATGCAGGAATGAAAACTATTCATATTGTATTCAGTTTCCAAGTATGGAAACTGAATCTGTCATGACCTCATAGAGTTCTTTGGAGGAGTCATTTTAAATAGTGTCTAAGAATGTTTAAAAATCTGTATTAGCTTAATAATTGTATAAGTAAATAAATGTTTACTCATTTGGGAACTGTTATAAAACTTGGTGTTCTCCTAATTAGACAACTTGACACAGGTCTGGTTGCTCATAAAAGATAGTCTAATGTTCACTAGATTAATCAAATACGGTATAAGTTCTCTTTTTCTACCGAGTCATTAATTCTGGAGTAGTTCAGGGCAAGTCTGGCAGACTCATTATCTTTAGGGGCCTAAATTCATTTTTATTTCTTTCAATCATCTTTAGCCCATTACTTCCATCATCATATCTATTGATTTTGTTGTCTTGAGGTGCTGGAGATTGAACCCAAGTTCCTGTGCTTATAAATGGTATACGCAGGGAGTTTTACAGCTAAGCCCTATCCTCTCATTTGTGTATGCATTGTCTCAAGATAGCTCCTCCACGTCTGACACCTTGTACATATTCTAGGCAACAGAATACAAAGAACAAAATTCATAAGAAATAAGCCAGCTGAATCAACTCTTACTCAAGAACTTTCTCAGAAAGTGACCTAGAGACTGACTTACATTTTACTGTTCTTAACTGTCAAATACGCCCAGGAATAATTATGCATTTTTGCTAAGCCCAATATCATCCTCAAATGAAGCTTAGTTCTATTTTTAAGAAATCCTAAAACATTCATCATAATCAAGATGTCTAAACTGGCTTATATAACTAAACAAAAGTATTTTGTTTTACAGTTGAACATTGGATGAAAAAGTACACTACTTTTGCAATAGAATGTTACTTGGTTAACACATAAATCTGTGAACACAGTGTAGTCAAATGAATATAAAGAGAAGATTGCAGGCAAAATTTTCAAAATGTAAAAGGAAAAACAGTTCCTGTCCTGTTTCACCCCACACTCACCCTCCCAAATAAATTTGTATACAGTAATTTATTTCTAAAAGAATTTTGAAGAATGGGAGAATAAATGGTGCTAAATTAACACACCAACCCACAGACTCTCTGTAATTACTAAGGAAAATGCGGTCTCACTTACTTAGAAAAGGGACTCTTACGAAGCATTTTTCTTTTTTACCTGTTTTCTTGCTAAAATCAGCAACATTGCCTGGCTGCTGCACAGAAGGACTTTGTACATTTTCCCAATCTGATTTCAAGAATGGTTCTCCAGAGCAGAAGCCAATCTTCACTCTGGAACTGATAGTTTCGAAAGGACCTCAAGCAAGATAGCTCCTTTAGCCAAACACTTTAGATTTGCAGTTTCTGAGAAGATTAAAGTAGAAGTTTTCTAATTTTGGAGCCAAAAATGTTATTTTCTATTGTAAGTAACTTGTCTATAGAAGACAGTTGACTTGTGAATTTAAGTCACAATCGCCTGTTTGCACATTGCCCTAACTCCTACCCCATTGAAAAGCCAGAGAGAGTAGAGTTTGCATTTTAATCTTAGAAGATACAAGTAAGAAAAATTCTGTGCAAAATGTAAGACTGTGTTTAGCTTAACTGGAGACTATAAAATTAAAAGGTGTCTAGTAACTAGCAGCTATGAATTTTCTAAAGCACTGATTTATGGAAGAACACAACTACAACTTTCTCCATTTTTTATAAATTAATTTTTAACAGTGTAGCACACTTACATAAAGGCAGAACATAATCATGCTTCAGCCCACTCAGTCATTATTTATTTAAGAGTCATTATTTAAGAGGAAAGATTTTTACCTTTGCTGTTTCTATTAGTTACAGTAACATTGTTTTTGACCCAGTATACATGAAAGCCCGGATAGTTAAGCAGAATGAAATTCTATTTCTTACTCAGGTAAAGTTCGTTAGTTGTCCCTGGTTGGCAGATGGATCCATGTGATTATTCATGGATTTAAGACCTTTAATGTTGTGGTACCTTCTACCTGTAGGTATTCAGAATCAGTTGACAGATAAAAGAGTTCATAAAGAATCTTACCTACCTCTTCAGCTCAGGAGTGATGTATGTGACTGGCTTCTGCTTCAGAGAGAAATAGCCACATAATCCCAAACAGATACAAGGGAATGGTAAGAGGCATTTTCCAAAGCTTGCCAGACACTTCTAGAAAGGAGAATGAGTGTTGTTGCTCACCAAGCTACCTCTGCCTAGTCTTCATTTTTGCAATTGAAAGAGTTGGATTTTTTTTTTGCATCTTTTTGCAAACCTCTTGTTTTATGAGATCAAATGGAGAAGTGAGAGAAGGTAATGAATATGTTGGGAAGGAGATTTCTCTCTGTGTTGATGGTATGATTGATTACATTTTTCATCTTACCATGCGATTGCCTCCAATTTCTTCTGCTCACTGAGATATGATAATTTTAATTTATATTTTAAAATTTCTATATTACATTGCTTATAATTTAGTTCTGTTTTGCCTTTTAATTAACATATTATGAATTGCTATAGTTTTATGTACTATTGAGAATATGACCCACCTCTTTGACCCTTAAAAGCATGATTTCTACCAACTACCCACTTTGACAATAGCATTCAGCTACAATTCAGCTAACATCTTGTATATCACTTCTGAAGAGCAGGTGGGATGTAATAGCAAAGAAGATGGAAATCCTATATCAGAGAAGCAATTTTCTCACAAATCCTTATCAGACCTATTCCTATGTCTCATTAGATACAGTTACATAGCTATTTGTAGGAGTAGGTGGAGAGCTGGGGAAAGATACTATTCAAATTGGGTTCATGGATGTTCCAAAGAGAATTCATTTCTCTTAGTGTTAAGGTTTACATCTAGACGTCCTTCAAGAGCCTCACATGCTCGAAGGTAAGGCTTTTGAAGGTGATTGGACTGCTGAAGTGCCACATATGACTTTTGGTGGGAGGTGGAGATTGTATTGAAGTGTGTCACTGGGAGTTTGATCTGGAAAAATACATCTCTGTCCTTGGTCCCTCCATCCTCTTTGCTTTCTGATTGCCATGATATGAGCAACCTTTCTCACTCAGGCTTCTCTCCCATGCCTCCTTAGAGCCAGCCAACTATGGACTGAAACCATTAAAAATTTTGAGCCAAAAGAGACCTCTCTTTCTTTAATTTGTGGGTGTTGAGTATTGTGTCTCATCCATGATAAAGTGATTAAGAGAAAGTGATTAGTAAGAAAGAAGGGGAAAAGGAATACATGACACCCAAATAACAATGCCCGTATCCAATTGCAGGAAGTCCTGAAATGAACCCAAATAAGTTAAGAAAGATACTCTGAAATAATGGAGAAATCAACTAGACATCAATAAATGTGAGCATGGTAGTGTATGCAAGTACTTTTAACACGCTAGAAAAGTCCGTAGCAGAAGGTCAGCAAATTCAAACTCACCCTGGGCAACCCAATGACTTAGCAAGATTCTGTCTCAAAATTTAAACATAAAAGCTAAACTAGCTGAGGGTATAGCTCAATACAAGGGTCCTGGGTTCAATCCTCAGTGCCAAAGAAGAAGAGAGAGAAAGAGGTACTTTATATACCTGGAGCAGGTATGTTTATGATTATTGCCCTAGAGTTTGAATTGGAATTGACAAGATGAAGACTTTAGTCCTTAGTAGTAATGATTTGAGGAACCAGGAGCAGAGAGATAATTTACTAAGGGAGAGGAGAAAATATTTGGACTGGAATGATTCCAGTCTGGTTTGTCTACCTAAACATATAGACAATAAATAAAAATGTCAAAGCTGATGTTTTGCTTCATAAGGCAGCCTAAGATGGTGACTGAAGTGGAAGGTGGCTGACACCGACGGCTCCTCCGTAACTGTGTTCATCACTCAGGTGTGGAGTCCTGCTGGTGGTTTGCAGTGTGTCTCTTGCTTTGGATCAGACCTGTAGCAAGGAGGAAGAAGGAGGAAAAGGAGGAGGAAGAGCAGAAAGAGATAGAAGGGAAAGAAAGAAAGAGGAGAGGAAAGAGAAGGGGAGGAGGAAAAGAGGAAGGAGAAAGTGGGAAAGGAAGAGAGCATGGGAGAAGGAGGGAGAGGCAGCATAACTGCGGAGGGTGAGCCTCCAGAATTCAGAGACCACTTTCATTTTAAAAACAGCTTTGTAGTATAATGGTCAATGTATCAGAGTTTGTAGATTTATAATTTTGTTATTCTATATTTTCAGTCTTGGATTTTTTTCTAAACTTGCTAGAATATACAAAAATGAGGTATTCCATTAGTCTAGGAAGAAGAAACACACTTTCTGTTCTCTTTCCCACTGGCTACATCCTTTTATTTACACACACTACACACACACACACATACACCTACACACACACAGACACACACACACACATATGCACACACACTAAGCTTCAGTTTTGAAATAGAAAGGAGATTCATATACTTTGGGA